TGCTGCTGTAAGAACCATCCTGATCTAAATGTCTGGGGCTACCACTTGGGGATAGGATGTTGACCAGGCCTTGTTGCTGCCTGGGTCTGTGTTAAAGTCTGTGTCCCAGGTTGCCACTAGGACCTATACAGAGGCCCAGAATCTAGGCCAGAGCCTGTGGCTTGGTTGGAGTCTGGGGGCTATGCCACAGCAGGGACCATACATATATGGGTGGCCTGTGCTGCCCCTTGGGGCCACGGTGTTATCCGAGCCCAGGCTGCTGCTGAGGGCCATGTCTGGGTCTGTGGCCCTATAGTGGCCAGGGTCCACTGATCGCCATGAGGATTCCCAGGGTCAGACTCTGAATCCAGGTTGGTGTCCAAGGACTAGGATACATTCAGATTTGAGTGGCCTGTGCGGCTGCTACTCAGTGTCATCTGGGCCAGAGCTGTAGCTGAGGGCCATGTCAGAGTCAGTGACCTTACTGCAGCCAGGGTCTGTGCTGATGTCCCATGCACCTGTTACCACAGGAGGCCATACAGACAGACACCAGAGATCAAGGGCCATACCCAACAGGGGCAGTGGTGACGTCCAGACTCACCTGCTGATAATGGCCATGTCTGGGTCCATGGTCCAGCTGCAGCTGGGGTCTGTGTTGATGTCTGTGACCTGTGTCACCCCAGGAGGCCCTAGGAACAGCGCAGGATGAAACCAGAGGGCCAAGCTGAGCCTGCCCCGCCCTTCACTGGTACTGGAGAAGCTGGCCTTGCCTCTGGCTAGACACTACAGCAAGGGAGCCGGGCCACTACTCAGGAGAGATAGCCCCACCCCTCACCACAGGTGAGGCTGAACAGACCCTGAGAAAATGCATGGGGGGGGGAGCTGGAGCTGGCTCTGCCCCCTCACCCTGAGCTGGATGGCTTCAGTGGCCCTGACTGACCAGTTTGGCTACCACCCAGGTCCACAGCTGGGCCTTGGGTTGCCTCACCTTAGTGTCTACCCCATCTAGGACCTGCTGGAGCTCATGAAGAGACTGGTCCTGTGGAACAAAACCTGCAAGGTCTCCAAGACTTGGGGCAGCCACAGGATAGCCCAGAAGAGTTCCGGTGAGGATCCAGTGAGGATGGTGTACAAGAAACCAGAGGCCTTGAACCAGGCCAGTGGCTCACTGTAATGAACATTTGCCAGTAAAGCTGACGGGACAAAGGGGTGTACTGTGTGACCCTCCGATACCACCAGGATGAATGAAGAGGAGATAGAAAGGCAGAAAAGAGATTTTTTTTTCTATTGTTGTTTTGTTTTGGGGTTTTTGTTTGTTTGTTTTTTGCTTTTGCTTGCTTGCTTTGTTTTGTTTTGTCTTCTTTTGTTGGGGGGCATGGCAGGGATGAGAGGAGGATATGGGGGGACCCAGAAGTAAGCAGAATTGGGGTGAATGATGTGAAACTCCCAAAGAGTCAATAAAGAAGTTAAATTTGGGGGATAAAAAAGGTTCTACTTTATGGAAAGAATGAGTTTTACAATTCATAATAAATACTGAATCTCTCGACTAATCTAGTAAAGGTATTCCATCTTTTAAAGATATGTAAGGAGACGAGTCAGAGAGAGGACTCAGTGGTAGCTCAGCCCCAGACACCCACGGTGATGCCCGGCACCCTGGAAGACATCTGGAGACTTCTGCAGCTACTCTCCTTCTCTCAAAACCGCTTTGCTGTTTCCTCAGCCTCATCTACGTCAGATCCTAGGAATGAGCCTTCCTGGCAATGGGGGACCTGCAATAACATTTGGCCTCCATATGCACAAAATGTGAATCTTGGCTGACAGGAAGCTGAAAAGTCAAGTTTTCAGATGGAAGCCACGCCTCCATGAGCCTTGCCCAACACTGGGAACTGCAGTGATCCTAAAGTGGTTAGAATGCTGCAGGCCAAATACCTCGAGCTACAGGAGGTAGCTCTTAAAGCCATTCGCCAGCCTGTGATTAACTCTGTGGATAACAGGCAGATCACTCTGGAATGTCTGAACAGACCCCGAGCTTTCACCAAGCTTGGGTGTCCTCACACAGCATTTGAAACCTAAAGCAGAGATTTCTCCACTTCACCATAGTCCACCTATCTGATGTTTCTGCCAACGTGGAACTTCTGTTCCTACAGTTTACAGAACCACTGCCATCTCGGGACACAGAACTGCAGAAGCTTTAATTTGCGTGCCAGGGCCACAATCGCTCATAATTTGGCTCCAGAATAAGCCATTTCTTATTCCTGCTCATCTTCCGTTTTGTTTGAGACAGGGTTTCTCTTGTTCACTGCTGCTAGGTTAGCTGTCCCAAGAGCTTCTGGAGGCTTCTTGTCTCTGTCAGAACGCTCAGGCAGCAGTTGCATGCTCCACTCCAAACAGCTTTCCTGTGGGTTCCGGGTGTCAGAACTCAGTTTCCAGCACTCGCGTGGCTGAACCATTACCCCAGTAGGAGCATTGTTGTGGTGACTTGAACAAAAATGTAAGAATGGCCACCACAGGCTCATATATTTGAACCTTAGTTATCAGGGGTAGCACTATTTGAGGATTAGAAGGATTAAGAGGTGTATCTTTATTGGGGGAAGTGTGCTACTCAGGTAAGATTTGAGGTTAAAAGTCATGCCAGGCTCGCTCTCTCTCTCTCTCTCTCTCTCTCTGCCTGCAGATCAGGATGTGTCTCTCAGCTACCGTTCCAGCATCATGAGTGGCTAACATGCTCCCATCATGCTCCCCACTGTGATGGTACAGGCCAAGCCTTTGGAACTGTAAGCAAGCCCCCATTTAATGTTTTCTGAGTTGCCTAAGTAACGCTGTCTCTTCAAGCAATAGAATGAAGACTAAGACCACTGTATTTTCACATTTTGTTTGGAGAGAGGAAGAAGTCTTGGCGTGTATCCCAGAAACAAAAGCCTGCACCCATACGTGGTGCAAAGCACCGTTGATGAAAACATACAAAGAACTTGTAAGCTCAACAGTAAGAGATCAATCTAATAACTGGCAAAACCCCAACAAAACATAAACACCTCACTAAAGATACTCAAACTTAACAAACATGAAAATCTGCAGATGTCCACAGAGATCTGAAGGCTTGAGACCCAACCATTTCCACAGTCTACTGAAATCCTAACCCTTAAGCTAGTGTGGCTGGGAGTAGACCCTTGCAGAGGTAATCAGGCCAGGAGGGTTGAGCTCTTATAAATGGGATTAGTACATTTCTAACTGTGATTTTGCAAATTTTTTTGTTGTGTTTTGTTTTTTTGAGACAGGGTTTCTCTGTGTAGCCCTGGCTGTCCTGGAACTCACTCTGTAGGCCAGGCTGGCCTCTAAACTCAGAGATCCCTCTTCCTCTGCGTCCTGTGTGCCACCGCTGCCCAGCTATGATTTTTCTTTTTCTCTGAAGGACTGGGGACCAAATGTACTAGGAAAGAGCTCTACTACTGGGCCGTTCTGCAACCCAGCAACCTTTGTAAAATGATCCCTCATCTGGGCGGTGGTGGCGCATGCCTTTAATCCCAGTTCTCGAGAGGCAGAGACGGGTGGATCTCTGTGAGTTCTGGTCCAACCTGGTCTAAAAGAGCTAGTTCCAGGACAGGCTCCGAAGCTACAAAGAAACCCTATCTTGAAAACCACAAATAAAAAAAAATTAAAAAAAAAAAGTTCCTCAGAAACCTGGCCCACTTGCAGACAAAGGGAGGCTGGACCAAAAGGATGCCTGGGCGTGATGCAACTTTGCTCAAGCTTGGCTCCTAACCTGAAATTTCCAGAACTATGATAAATGAGTTTTCGTGGTTTGGGCCATTCCCTACATGTTGTTTTCGTCACGACTAACATTTTCCAGTTCTTGCAAACCATGGCTCTTCAGCTTCCGTTTGGCCCTGAAGGAAGAGCCAGCTGCTTGGGAAATATGCTGGTTTTCATACAACACAACCGGCTCGCCACACAATGCAACATTTGGAAACAAAAGCTGAAGTTCAGAAAACCAGCGCAAAGCTGGTTATAGCTTATATATAATATATAAATATATTTATGATATATGAATATAAATATAAATTATATATACCAAATGACCAAATCCCAGAAAGCAGCCACATGTTTTTCAGGAAGTGAATAGGTAAACAGAGGCATATCCAGTTAACCGTATTGCTGAACCAGGAAGTGAAACTTGTTTCTTAATGTCCGGGGAAACCTAGCCATGTGTTCCTAAAGAAGGAAACTTGAGATCATGTCTTATTGGTTGAGACCAGCCATGTGGCATTCTGGACAGGGCAAAACAGTTGCTGAGGTCATGCTAGTTATTCGAGAGCCTGGGAAGGGCAGGGTGCCAACGGGCATCTTAGGATGAACTGGTTGGTCCCCATGGCCCTGTGGTGGCGGGGACATGTCACCATACATACCCGTGTCCAAGCCTTGGGAAGTCCGCAGTGGATGGCGACCTACTCGAGGTGATAAGACCCGCGGTGCTGCTCAGGATTTTAACAAGGATCTCAGTCAAGGCCGAGCTCGGGAGGGAGGCCGCTGGAAACCTTGTATCTTCTGCTTGGTGTTTTTCCTCCCAGTCCCAAACCCATCTACAAATGAACTCCAGAAAGAATTCTTTAGAGTCTGTTTAAGAACGGAAAGACCCGGAGAGGGGGAAATGCGTTTAAAACGCAGTCAAGGGCCGAGCGAGTGAGCAGTTGGAATTTTTCCTAAAGAGACGGGGAAGAAGGAATCCTCCTTTCCAAACAAGATAAGCCGCAGGCACAGGTCTTAGTGTCCCTCGAGGGCACAGGGACACCGGGACACAGGTCAACTCAAGGGAGAAGGACGCTTGCAGGTAGGAGGCAGCAGAGCGCATGCGCCCTTTGAGCGAGCGCGGGGCGCATGCGCGCCTGGGGGATGGGGAGCAGGGTGACTCAGCATCTTAGCTACCCACGTTTTTTGGCGCTCATGGGAGATATGTAAATGAGCTGGAGCATCATGGGTATTGGCCTTTTATAAGGCCCTGGAGCTGTGGCGGAGGAGCCTCGCTGGGATCGGCGTCCGTTTGCAGAGTTACTGGGAGCTCAGCCAGGCAGGTGAGGATGGAAAGGGGCTGGGACTGGTTGGGTGGGGTGGCCTGCGCTGGGTGAGGGGGTCTGGGTCTGCATGGGAGCGCGGTGGGCCGAAGGGGATCCTGCTTTAGGCTTCCTGGCCTCCTTTAGGTTTCCCCTTCCCGGCCTCCTCCAGTTGGGAGCCTGGCCATGAGCCCCGAGGAAGCTGCTGAGCCTGGGGCTGTGGTGAGGGAGCCCCAGTCTGCTCAAGGCGAGCAGTGCACCTTGGGGAACCTCAGCCCCAGCCCTCCTCCCCTCGGTGGTCTCAGCCGCCTGCGCAGCAGGGGGCGCCAAGCCTCATTTTCTTTCCCTTTCAAGCTCCCCAGACATTGGAGCAAGTGTGAAGGTGAAGTTTCTGGAATCTCACGTCTGTCCACTTCTCCAAGGAGGTATCCATTGCATTGGCACCCAGTTTTCTCACACCACCCCATAGCCTGAAGCCCAAAGTACCTGAGACCCCCTACTGCACCCCGTTTTCTCCCTTTGTCCCATTCTCGGCTCTTCCCAGCTATCCCCAGCATTACGCGGTTCCAGAGCCTGAGACCATCGATCAAGTCTTCCTCTTTGTATCCAATCAGCTACAGGCAGGCTTCTTGGCCATGTGTCCCCCAGTCAACGTTCGCCATGGGCTCAAGGGCATGTCCTGCCTCTATGCGGCCTGGCTATATCAGCTTGTCCACGGAGACCAGATGAAGATCTGCTTTGCTTGCTTCAAGGCAGCTTTCCTGGTAGTTAAAAACATGCTGGAGATGGGAGACTGGGAAGAGGAAGAGTGGGGTGCCGAGCCCATGGAACTCTCGGAGGCAGGATCCGAGCCGGAGGAATGGCTGGGGCTCAGCTGGGGAGAGGGCCAAGGGCATCTGTCGCATGGCAACTCTGTTTCCACAGGTCCTGGCATCCTGACGTCAGGCCCTGTAGGGACAGAGGGAATAGGGTTGGGACCCCAGCCTGTCCCCACTGAGCTGGGGCCTCAGGAAGCTGTACCCCTGGACCTGGGCCCTGAGGATGCTGAGTGGACCCAGGCTCTTCCCTGGAGATTTGATGGCCTTTCTCCCTGTTCCCACTGGCTTATCCCCCCTCTATCCTGGTGGGATGTTTTCAATGTGAGCCCATCTCCTGGACAACCGGTATTGTTGGAGTTGAGCCCTACCTGGCCCATGGATCCGTTGGAAGCAGAAACCTGGTTGGTAGATCTGAAGTTCGTCTTTCTGTTGGGTGGCTTCGATGCCATCTGCTACCTGCTGTCAATGACTCCCTGTTGGGCTGTGAGGACCCGGGTCCAGCGCTGGCAGGTGTTGCTGGAACCTGGTGAGGTGAGGGTGGCCCAGCTTCAGAATGCACCCGAACAACAGGACCTGCACCGCTGGAGGCTGAGCATCCTGGAGTCCTCGGAGCTGGGGGTGGAGCTGGTGCCTGCCGACTGCACCTTGCGGAAGGGAGGCTTCAAGGTGCACTCCTACCTGCCCTGGCACAGTGACACCCCAGAGGACTGGGGCAGCGAGCCCGGGGAGAGGCTGCTTGTCGGAGAAGTTGTGTCTCTGAGGGAGCTACCCAGCTTCCGCTCCCCCTCCCCTGATTCACAAAACTGAAGGACTGAAGGTCCAGCAGCCCCCGTTGACCTCTCCATCCCAGGGTCCCAGGGACTGAAGTGCTAGGGGTTGCCTGTCCTCAACCACAGGTATAAGAGGATGCCCATCATCTTGAGGGGTGGGGCCTCAGGGAAACCAGGTTTAGTTGTCCTCAGTTGACTGTTGAGTGTTTGGAAGGTAAGCCCCAGCTTCTTGTGCATCAAGTCTTATGGGGGACAGGTCATTGATCCCTCGGCTGTTCTGCTATAGGTGTAGGTGTGGACTCTACAAGTGTGGCACCCCAAGTCAGGTGTGGTTGACCAGTGCATATTCTGCACTGGGACCTTCTGAGGGCCCACGAGTCCTGGCTTCAGAGTTGACTGTTTATGCTCTTTGTCAAGTTTCTGTCCTGTTGAGTGTTTCTGTTTAATAAAGTTGTCATCTTTTTCATAGAAGCCTTTTGCAGTCTCCTCATTGGGTCCTCATGGGTTGTTCACCTCTCTCCTGGGTCAGCAGCTTCACGAATTTAAGATCCCACAGAGCCGGGAAGGGGACATTGGGTTCTGGTCTGTTTTCTGGGTCCCATAGTGTGTTTGTGTCAAGTATAAGAGCCACATCTTCACAACCCAAATGTACAGGGTTTAAAATAGGGGCAGTTTTCCTGATGTGTGATTCCCCTCTGCATGCTGTGAGTATGTTTTCTTGCCATTGGTTAATAAAGAAGCTGCTTTTGGCCAATGGCTTAACAGAATAAAGCCAGGCGGAAAACCAGAACAGATGTAGAGAGAGGGTAGGCCGAGTCAAAGAGACGCCAAAGGAAACAGACACCCCGGAACCTTGCTGATAAACCATGAACAGAATAATAGAAATGGGTTAATTTAGATGTAAGAGCTACCTAGAAATATGCTTAAGCTATTGGCCAAACAGTGTTTTAATTAATATGGTTTCTGTGTAATTATTTGGGCCTGGGCGGCTGGGAAACAAACAGGCAGTCTCAGCCTACAGTTTACTGTGTGGAAGAGCAGTGTCTCATCTCATGGGTTGACAGGAGGCAGCACAGGCTTGTAATCCCAGAAGGAATATTCAGAGTCTAAGGCCACCCTCATTTACATACTGAATTTGAAAGCACTGGGGGCCGGTATTGTCAATCTCAAAAATACAAAAGGGGGAAAAAAGGTGTGTGTGGTGTTTTTGTTTTGTATTGTTAGTTTTTTTCCCCCCAGCAACAAAAATCAACACTGCTGGATGCATGCTGGGCCAGAATTTCTGAAGTGTGTATCTTGTACTTCGTTTTCCCGAAATGAGGTCCCACTGTGAGTCCCTAGCTAGTCGCGAACTTTGGGCTTCTTGCCTCGGCTTCCCTGGTGCTTGGCTCGTATGCATGGTATGCATGGGCCACCGTGTTTCAGGAGGGGAAGAATCATCTTAATTGTCCTGGATTGAACACATGAATCTAATCTAGGAGTTCTGGGTAAATGTTCCCTGTGCCGTGAGATGGGGTGCACGGTCTGGAGCCCTGCTTTGCCCCCACACTGAGCCCCATGACCTGCTGGTGGCTTCTGTGCCCACAAGGGATCTGCAGGCAGACATGTCTGTGTGCTCTGGTCATCTCTTGCCTTTGCCGTTCATGTGTCATGTGTGTTGATTAGTGTTATTAGCACCCTTAAGCAATCAACGCTTAATTGATCATGTAAAAGACTGTCTTTTTTTTCCATTTGTTTTTAATTATGTGTCTGTGTGTGTCTGCCCTTGCGTGGCTGCCTGTGGAGGTGAGAAGAAGGTGTTGGATCTGCTGGAGCTGAAGTTAACAGATAGTTGTGAGTCGCCCGACCTGGGTGCTGAGAGCCAAACTCTTGGTCCTCTAAAAGAGCAGTGTGATGGTTTGAGTGTGGCGTCCTCCAGAGTTTCCAGATTTAAATACATGACCCCCAGTTGGTAGCACTGTTTGAGGAGGCCTAGGAAACATGGTCTTGTTGGAGGAAGCATGTCACGGGAGGCAGGCTCTGAGAGTAAAAAGATGCATGCCATCCTGAGTTCTCTTTCTCGGCTTCCTGCTTGCAGGTCAAGATGGGAGCTCTCAGCTTGTGTTCTGGCTAACATCCTTCTTGCTGCTATGCCTTTCTGCCATAAAGGACTCGTGACTTCTGGAACCATAAGCCCAAATAAATCCTTCTGTAAGTTTCCCTGGTCACAGTGTTTTAGCTTATCAATAAAAAAAAAATAACCAATACAAACAGCAGTTGCTGTCAAGTGCAGAGCAATGTGGTTTATTATTATTATTTTTATTGTTGTTGTTGGTTTTGTTTGGTTGGTTTTGTTTTTGTTTTTTGTTTTTTTTTTTTTTGAGGCACAGTTTCTTTGTAGCTTTAGAATCTGTCCTGGAACTTCCTCTTTAGACCAGGCTGGCCTCAAACTCGCAGAGATCTGCCTGCATCTGCCTCCAGAGTGCTGGGGTTAAAGGCGTGCACCGCCACACTGGCTAAGATTTTGTTTTTATTTTATGTCTATGTGTATCAGTATACTGCCTACATGATGTATGTCCATCATGGTCATGTAGTACCCACAGAAGCCAGAAGAGGGTGTCAGATCCCCCAGAACTGGAGGTACAGATAATTGACAGCTGCCATGTGGTTGCTGAGAATCAAACCACAGTCCTCTGCAAGGGCAACAAGGGCTCTTAACCACTAAGACATGCTGTGGGATAGTGCTCTTGTACACTGTAAAGATTTGTCACTCCTACTGGTTTAATAAAACTCTGATTGGCCAACAGCCAGGTAGGAAGTATAGGCTAAGTGACCAGACTAAGAGAATTCTGGGAAGAGGAAAGGCAGAGATGCAGTTGCAAGAAGCCACAGAGGAAGCAAGATGAGAATGCCTTACTGAGGAAAGGCCCAAGCCATGTGGCTAAACAGACAAGAATTATGGCTTAATTGAAAGTTGTAAGAGCTAGTTAATAATAAGCCCGAGCAATAGACCAACTACTTTATAATTAATATAAGCTTCTGTGTGATTATTTGGGACTGAACAGCTGTGGGACCGGATGGGATAGAAACTTTGTCTTCAGAGACATCTTGCCAGCCCCACACTATCAAAATTTAGAAAGCAGATCAGAGAGGAGATCTGACCTGATCGCATTAGATAGGTTGAGAATCACTGTTCTAGAGAGTTCTGGAAGTCTGATGCCTTTAGGGTTTGGAGTCCTGAAACATTCTTTTCATCCCTGGACTCCTGACCTTTGAATCACTGCGAGAATACAGTTCTCTCCCCCCTCATCTTTTGCCTTCCTCACACAGCAGATCACAAAGTCAGAGGTGAGGTAATCTCTGTCTTGGAAATATCAGCCATATCCAGTGCCTTGTGTGTCAACTGCCCATAAGCCTATGGTAATAGGTAATGCCAGCCTGGGCTCTAGCAGTGACAATGAACCCACTTCATCCCACCCAGGCCCCTATAGCGGAGATAGGGCTAGGTACCCAGTTAGATGCTGGCGCTGTTTTTGACTTCTTCATCACCATCTAAAATGGCATCTGTTGTCTTCAAAATATAAAAATCTAGAAAACATTTTTTTGAAACAGGGAAGCTCCAAAGCTACAGAGAAACCCTGTCTCAAAAAGCCAAAGAAAGAAAACACAAAAATCTGAGCAACATTCAAGAATTAACTATTCTGGGCAAATCAGACTCATCAGTCATCTTGCCGTTAGCCACTGGCTGTCTGCCCTTTCAGAAGGGCGCCCTCGCTGTCCGTCGTTCAAGTGACAGGCAGTACGGCACAGAATGAGTAACACATACCTGGGCTGGAAATAACTTTAAATGTTTGTGTTTAGCTTCCTTGTGTTTGAGCTTTAAACAAAACCAAAGATGTATGCTGGGTGGTTGGAACTGTGGGCTACATGGGCACCCGCCTGCAGGTGTGGATCCCCCCTTCTTGGAAAGGTGGAGGGAGGGTGAAATGCATCGTGGCAGCTCTGAAAAGGCTTAAAGGCTCCGGGCTCTAGGTGTGCCCTCACTGCCCTGGTCAGGATGATCCCACGAGAGACCTCTAGAGGCCACTGGTAGGCACTCAAAAGGTCCTCCAAACTATCACAGCAGCTCCTGATGGGTCTGGTCCAGCTGCCCTTTCTTTTCCAGGGTGTGTACACCCTGGCCCAGGCACAGAGCCCTGTGCTCAGAGTGGGTGTGGGCATGGCAGACCTGGGCCAAAAACCCATTCCTGAGTCCTGCCGGGCTGAGTGTTTGCTTTAAACAGGCACAGTTGGAGCACACAGACCCCCGAAGTCAGGACCGAGGCCAGTCCCCACATCTGGTGGAAAAAGGATTATGGAAACTTTCTGCTCCTGGGAGCAGTTGGTCACCAGACGCCTGCGATCCTGGCATCTTCCTGAGTGTCCAGAAGCCTACTGCCCCCACGGTAGAACTGATTTTCAGGGAGGGCCTCCTTAAAACTTTCTGCTTGCCGGTGGCGCAGCCTGGTGGTCACTTCAGGCTGGTCTGGCTCTGTTGTATCTACTCAGGCTTTCCGGGTCTTCCAGGTCCCTCGTCCATCTCTCAGGAAGACGTGAGAATCAACTGCCAGTCCCTTAAAAATTCCTGTGACCGCCAGCCCTCTGATGTCCTCAGTCCATGATTTTAGATCAGAGGTGGTACATCCTTATGTCTTCTTCTAGATGATTCTGATGGGTGGCTGAGCCAAAGACAGGGGACCAGGAGCCCTCCCTCCCTTTGAACCGACTCCACCTTTGGCAAGCGAGTAGAGCCTAGAGTCAGAAATACCGAGATTAAGATATGAAGGAGGACAGCTTGCCGAGAAAGACAGGAAATTTCCCCACGGGCTTCATGCAGCAACAAACTGAACATGTTTAGGCCAAGTTTACAGCAATAAACAAAGCATGTACAAGAAAAGCCTGGGGTACATAGATGTGAGAACGGCAGGTGCTATGTATGTGTTCTGTAAAGGATTGTATTCTCTGTGACCCAGGGTCACACAGGGTACTTGGTGCGCTAGCCCACTCGTGTCTCCAGAGTGCTTTTCCTTCCTTCCTCCTTCCCTTCTTCCCTTCCCCTCTCTCTTTCTCTCCCTCCCCCCTCCCTTCATTTCTCTCTCTCTCTCTCTTTTGTTTAAGGGGGAATGGTTCACCATGTAGCCCTGGCTGCCCTGAAACTTGCTCAGTAGACCAGGTTGACCTCAGACTCACTAGATACACCTTCCTCTGCCTGAGGGCTAAGATTAAAGGGGTATGCCACAACCACAAGGCCGTGTGTGTGTGTGTGTGTGTGTGTGTGTGTGTGTGTGTGTGTGTATGAGACAAGGTTTCTCTGTGTAGTCTTGGCTGTCTTGGGACTCACTTTATAGACCATGCTGGCCTTGAACACAGAGATTCACTTGCTTCTGCCTTCCAAGTGCCAAGATTAAAGGTGTGCACCACTACAGCTGGTCTGCTTTTCTTTCTT